TGAGCTATTGCTCGCCTTAAGATACACACTTTAGAGCAGGGTCAGAGGCACTGAGGAAAGTGAAGATTGGGCCCAAGCTTACCAACCTTATTTAGTACTTCACTTTAATTTTTGTAGAAATGTTTCTTTTCCAAGTACTGATGTTGAAGAAATGCCGTGTAAGTACACATAAATAACACTTTCTTTTACTTTAGAGGCTGGCATATGTAACCTCCTGTATGCTTTAGTAATGCCTTATTGACATCTAAATACACACAACTATAAGGCAATCTTCAATTTGACCTGGATTGAATCCCTAACCAACCTGTTTTCTTCACAACAGTGTTTGCCAATTATTTTTTCCCATCTTTAGGAAATCATAGGCTGGTAATCTCAACTGGATTTCAACCTTTCCATTAACTTTCACAGTCCAAGATCTGAGCCACATGTTTTGTAAGGAAAATGCAATGCTCAGTTCAGTGACAGATATTAGGCACATATATTTAAACAAGATGGTCTTTAATTTGACCAAATCCAAAAATAAGCCTTTAATACCTGCTAATTTAAAATCACACTTGGGAGCAAGCATTGTCATTCCTTTATGGGGCTACCAAGTCAGGAAATGGAGCTTCCTTCTCCATTTAGGATTTCCCACACACCATCTGACCTCTTTAACTCTCTCTGCAAGGAAAAAGCTGTTCTGTAAATTACCAAGTTCTTGCTTTTGACATGACAAGCAGATTTAACCCCACACTTTGAGAGAATTTCTGCCTTCCCAGATGTGCATATGGCATGGTGGTCAGAAACAGAACCATGCCACAGGGTCCCTGGCAGCATGTACCCTCAGGCCATGGGTGTCTCCTGTGCTGGCAGCATTGTTGGCTAGTGGGACACACCTGGGTGATGCCACCCATGGACAGCAGGACAGGTAGAGAAAGAGCCTGCCCAACTCATCTGATTGCAGCATCTGACCTACTTTGTTCTCTGCCCACCCTGCTACCAACCCAGATCAAGTGTCTAGTAAGATGCCTTGAGTTAAGGACAAAAATATGTCCCTTAAGGGAAAAAGGAGATGGCCTGAAAATGCAGATGATGCAGATAAGGCTCTGGTCCTGTATACTTATTTACAAGCTTTGGACTGATTTCTTTATGCTTTGAGTTTCTTTTTATTACAGGAAATAGAGTAGTGATGTGGGCTGAGTCTAAGGCACAGTTCAGCCTAATGGAGAGCCACCTGATTTTATTCAACTTTTATACATCGTAAGCCCTGGAAGTTATATGAGAAATTTGTCTCTGTGTATGAAACTGCTCTTTCCTTATAGTTAGCCCTCTCTTCCATAGGAGACATTACCTATCATGCTTCTCATAGTGCTCAGATATTGTGCAGTTGTGCCCTGGACTATTCAACTCATTTGGAGGAATATTAGTACTAAATATGTGTGAAGGAGCCCTACAGAATATTAATTTGTCAGCACCTCTTTCTCCTGCACCTATTTCCTGGTACAGTATTTACAGATACCAGTAAGCATGCAATACAGGATAAGGTATATTTTGCTTGCTGTGCCATTCTAATACTACGTGTTGAAACATTTGCTGTGTAAAGTTTCAAGAATGTTAAGTTGAACAATTTCCATTTCCACTATAAAGTCTACTGTAGATGAAGGTATGTTCAGGAAAAAGAGCACTTTCACATTCACATTGAAGCACAGAACTGTTAAAGATCAAAGTAGGCCTGACCATTTCGCTTCCTTTTTGGTGGATAAGAAAATTAACATGTGATAAAAAACTGTAAATGATGTGTTAATTATGTCATACATTACCTTAGAAAATATTACTTTTATAACTGAATCAAACTGACAGGCAAATGAAGACTTGTTATTTGGAATTTTCAGAGAACCTTACTGTTGTATAGCAAGCAAAAAGTAAATACCGAAGTAATTTATGCAATTGCAGTAAGTTGTTTAGTCAGGTGCAGCAGGGACCATTGTTAGAACTTGTTTTACAGGCATTTAACATTTTCATTAATAATCTGAAAGAGTGGGTTCACAGCATGCTAATTAAATGAAGAGGTAAATCTAAATTGAAAGAAGTCACAAAGCATCAGTGAGGACTGAGACATAACAGAACTGAAAATGTTAGAAAAATAAGAAACAGAAAATGAGATTTAAACTTGGAAATGTTCTGTCAGAGGTACCTTAATAAAAACTGTCCTATACAAGAGAGAAGTGAGTGGGAAACAAGCAAATTAATATCACTGAAGGAATAAGTGAACTGGATATTAGTTGACATGTGACAAGGAAGCTGCAAAGACTGCTTTGATTCTGGTCTGTCTGTAAAGAAGTCTGTCCCTTGCATAGCTTACAGCAACTTTTAGGAGCTTAAGGACAGAAGGAGTCTCATGCATTCATTTATGAGGAAAAAATTAAGAGGGTTGCACTCAAGATCAGGCAAGTGGCAAGTGACGCTGTGCTTAAAAAAAAAACCCAGATGTATATGGAGAATATAAAGATGAGAAGAAAGCTGAAAGGGGAAATTTTGATCTGGTAGGAAGTCTCCAGTGAGGAAAAGAACTAACATGATTGGAATACTTTAGGCAATGCTTCAGTGTATTACTAGACAAGATAGTATAAAGAAATTTCTATTAGGCATGAGGATCAATGCTATCCTGCGCTGATCCACCTCCTATATATTCTCTATGATTTCATTGAACAGTTAAAGCAGTACCTTTTATTTAACATAAGTTGAGCTTATTCCTAAATCTCACTGAAGTGAGTAAGATACAATGCTATGGTGAAAATTAAGAACACTTTAATATGAAATCAGTGCATCCCACTGCTTGGAGTTTTCCTGCTTTGACTGCAAGACTGCAGCATTATAGATAGTCCAACAATCCACTGTGGTATTAAGAAGCATTTTCTGTTTGTCTTTAAACACTGAAAATATAATTTATCTGTACATCAATCCAAATATGTTATGGTACATTTCTTCCATTTTTTCAGTTGTGCCAGCTGATACGTAAGTTATACTACACTACCTCTCACTAGCACCCTTACCTTTTTGCTGTGGGTGCCACAAATGACATACAGTAGTATTTGAGTAAAATCCTGGCAATTTAGAAGCATCAGTTCCAATTTCAAAAGGAACAGAGGTAACTCCCACCACCTGAATTTTGCTGTCAGCTCAGAGACAGCCCCTCTGTGTTTTTTCCTGCTTTGTGTGTCCCAGAATGGAAGTGCTGGCCATATGACAAAAGAGGATGAAAGACTGGGAAATGTGGGGTGTGTTTTGGGCTGTATGGTTTAGGACTTGGAGAGGACAAAAAGAAGGTGACTATTTAAGGATGCATTATTTCTAAGTGATCCTGCAAGAGATAAAAGTTCAATGATTCTGTAAAGCTCTGTGACTCAAAAGATTCCATTGACTTCAGTGGGATCCCTTAGCCACTAAGGATATAATCCGGTGGCCATATTCTCTCTTTGGGCTCACTTCTGCACTATGCACAAACCCTAATTCATGGGCTATCAGAATTGTCATATTTCTGGTATATGCTCTGAATCTTTCTGGGAACATCTCCCTTTGATACAGGGTGCTCCAGGAAAACAGCTCTTATGTCTTAAAATTATCTCTCTCATAGCTGAAGAACTGTGAACCACTGTTGAGAACTGAGGTTTGCACAAGCCATATGTGAGTAATATGCATATGGCCACAACAGCCGAGAAGAAAGCTTACTGATCCTCTGTACTGCTAAGTTGGGAGTGTAGGACTTTACTGGACAGCAGCCTAGGCCAAAAGAGATAAAAAACCATGTCCCACTAAACAGAGGGACAGAAAAGCATAACTCTCTCCAATGAAATTTGCAGTTAAAGTACACAATTTGTTACGCAGCTTCCTGCACATGAGCATCCATGGGTAGAAAACATGCTACAGATTCTAGCTGTGCCTTCATTTTTTTTTAATGTAGCAGTAACCACTTCATACACCCTTTCTGCAATATATATTGAGTGCATGCCGCATCTCCAGGGCCCTCGGTGGGTCTGAGTAAACATCTCAGTGTACATCCATGAGGCAGCATGGCCAGGCCAGAATTATAGATGGTTTTTATGATGTGAGATTAATTAATTTGTTACAGGTGCTCTTGAATACCATCTTTCTTTTTCTTCCCTCCGTCTTTCTTTTTAATTAAATTGCATTAATGAAGTGTTACCCTTTGATTATATTCTCAACCACAACTGACGCAGCATACTTCACTTGTTGAGGTGGGAAATACCTAATTAGGATGACAATCTTCTCTCATGTTATTTCTTCATAATAGAAGTAGTAACTCCAGTTGTGTTGAAGAGGTACAACTAGAGGCATTAGATGAACAGAAATCTGCTGCCTTTCAAACTGTCTTGTTTCACAGAGGATTCTTTGCTAGTTTTCAAAGAAGAATCAAGGAACAGGTTCTCGAAGGCATTCAAGCAGAGGAACAGGGTTATCCATGCAACTGCATTCAGAGTTTGTGCACCTCATGAATTCAGTAATCTTGCTCTGCATATATATCCATGCACCAGAAGTAGCAAGCTGGTGCTTTTTGACAATAAATTCCCTAGAATGAGCTTTCATGGGGATTCTGGTAGTTGACAAGCATACGGATGGCTGGCTGAAGAGATCATTTAACCCTGCTAGTAATGAGCTCATTTGAAACAAGCTTCCCACTACTAATTATCACTTGGTTCTGATTGATTCATCACCTGCTTTGATGCTCCTATTTCATAAACAGAACATGAAATGCTGAGTTTAACAAACTGCATGATTTGCAGATTTTGGCAAAACAGACTGCCTTGATACTGTGTCAATTACTGCCAGACTGATTTTCTTTCTTTTACTGCCTGTATGTGTGTGCACATACAGACATGTATGAACATGTAATTATTGTGTACCTGTGCATGGAATGACTATGTAATATTTTAATAAAGACAGTATTGCAATGTTATTTATATATATACACATTATACTAGAGGAATAAGAATTTTCCTTACCTATTTCACTCATGGATATCCCCGGAGCTAATTGCCCATTGTTGAAAGAGCTATAGGTAAACAAGTTTGGTACAGAGGTGAGGTCATAGATAGGTTCCTGCTTGATCTGTTTGATTCCAGTCATGTCTAACCCAGACTGGTCTGGGGAAGGCTGGGTAGAATCCACGTTATAATAACCCTCAGACTTTGGCAGATCAATGACGTGCCCATTTGAGTAGGTGCTGCCAGTTTCATTATTCAGGTTGCTCAAGCCATTGCTGATGCTGTTGCTGTAAACCCTGGCAAGGGCTTCTGCCTCACCGCTCTGCTGCTGCCGTTGTTCCTGCAGTCGCTGCTGGTGCTTCTGCACTTCAGCATACAAGCTATCCCTCTGCTTTTTGGACATTCTTCCAAACTTCACAGCTGAAAAGCAAAGCACAATGCAAACCATTGTCATCTTTCATTTTTTCTTGATTCCCCTCAATCCCACCACTCTTTTGATATTTACTTGCAGCCTTACTTTTGCTGTGTAAACTTGCCTTTTTCTGTGGAAATGAGAGAGGATGCAAAGCTTTGCACCATATGCATCTTACAAAGGAAAAAGTATTGTGTGCTTGGATTTACAAGGTGATGACAATGATTCCTATTTGACAGGAGGACCTCAGTCAAGCAACTCCCTACTGTGAATGTTAAAAAGACCATGAATCCTTTTACATCTCTGTGTTCACTGAGCAACAACCCAGAGCTGTATGAAATGTACAGTCAGTAGATTCATACCCCATATGATTTACCAACTTTCCACAAACCTTTAAACAGTGCACTAACAGGATTAGTACTCCGGATGAAAACAAGCCCTAAAGCCTTATTATCACATCCTTTCAATGGGGTGTTATCTTCACACTTTAAAAAAAAAAAATTAAAAAAACGTATCTTATAGGTTAGACTTAGAACCTAGAGGAAAATAACAGATTAGAAGCACAAATGAATGTAATCTTTTCCACAGAGGAAAGTCTCAGGGATTTACACAATCAATTTACATAATCTCCATGCACAAATCCATGCATTACTTCTGATGAGAAAGGGAGGAAAACATCAGAGTGCACACTACTCTTCCCAGGAACAGGGTTCATTACACTGAGATTGAAATTTACAAAAATTACAGGCTGATTGCTGTGGAACTAGGAGGAGTAAATCCACAGCCTGCATATACAGTGAGACATAGCTGATTATCCCCCCGTCCATCTCTCTCTTAATGCTGACTTTGTACTGGGCTAGATCTTGGAATCTCAGAGCAGAGTTAGTTGTTAATTGTGCTCTTCAACAAATAAGGGCTCTAAAATTGTACTCTAAACCAAGTAATTCAGCAGAATTTATCAGAGCACAGATAAGAGGACAATGCTTTGGAAATACTAATTTCTATGTATTATGAGACGTATTTTCCAACACTGAGTATTTCCAGTCCATCCATGGAATGAATTCAGAATCATCAAATTTCTTAGCACAGGATGGGCTTTGCTCTCATTTTTGCTACCCCATAGTTCAGATACAGCCCTTGGGAAAAGTCTGAGTCTACACATGTGGATGAATGTGAAAAACCTTCAGTCAGGAAAAAGAACAATAAATAAAGGGTGTAATATGAAAAGGCAGTACCAGAACACAAGGAGATAGCAGCCTCTTCAATTTATTTGCAATTTTTTATGCTAAGAGGTTTATTTCTTGTTGCCAACCTCAACTTATTCACAGCCCTTCACACTGGCTGCAAGCTAGCTCACACGAATACAGCCTCCCCCTGGAATCAGTCCACAGTGCACTGTATACTCTTACCAGCAATATACAATGACTGTATTTTGAAAAATGCAACTGTGTATTTTTTCCAAATTTAGGGCCTCAGTAATAAAAACAAACACCCACTGTTTATTCTCATTATATATTCATTAATTGGATTCTCCAGCTGCTGTCAATTAGCATCCTGCCTCTGCATGATAAAAATGAATGTTACATGGCTGAGAGGTAAAAATCACATTCAATTTCTCTGTTAAAAAAAATCCATGCAGCCTATTTTAAACTTGCAAGAGGTCTTAAAATTGTTAAGTATAAACACTCTTGTATAAACAATGAGATAAGAAAGTGATGCTGTCAGAAGAATCACTCCCTTTGTCTGTACGCAGTGGTCCCTCAGTTATAGGCTAGGAAGACATTGTTGCCAGTCACATTAAAATGCTCCTGTAATAGTTCAAGTCATTGGAAGACACTACTTATAGGAGGAAGGCATGTGCTGTTAAATCACTGAAATGTTACTACTTCAATCACTTCTGGGAAAAACTGGGAGCTAAGGCATCAAGTAAGCCTCATGCTAGGACCAAAAATGCTTCACAGATTAAAGGCTAGACTGTGAGAACCCTCCGAGAGTTGTTTCAGTTAGACATGAGGCACAATGAAGTAGGAAAGACCTATTACAGTCCAAATTTTATCTGGCAAGGGACGTTAAAAATAACAGGAAAGGCTTCTATAGGTACGTAGCAAATAAAAGACAGACCAGGGACAACATAGGCCCTCTCCCAAAGCTATCGGGACGGGACGACTGGCTACCCTGGACTTGGAGAAGGCTGAGGTTCTTAATGACTTCTTTGCCTCTGTCTTCACTAGCAAATGCTCAGATCACACCACCGAACTCTTGGAAGGCAAACGCAGGGATTGTCAGAATGAAGACCTTAGGCCCACTGTAGGAGAGGATCAGGTTTGAGATCACCTTAAGAACCTGAACGTGCACAAGTCCATGGGACCTGATGAAATCCATTCGCAGGTCCTGAAGGAGCTGGTGAATAAAGTTGCTCGGCCACTGTCCATCACATTTGAAAAATCATGTCAGTCAGGTGAAGTTCCTGATGACTGCGAGAAGGGAAATATAACCCCCATTTTCAAGAAGGGGAAGGTGGAAGACCCGGGGAACTACAGACCAGTCAGTCTCACCTCTGTGCCTGGCAAAATCTTGGAGCAGATTCTCCTGGAAAGCACGCTGAGGCACATGAAAAATGACGAGGTGGTTGGTGACAGCCAGCATGGTTGCACGGTCTTCTCGTGCTCGCTCTGTCTCATTCTGCATTTGCTAGTCCCTGTTCACTGATGTTGAGGAAGATGATACAGATACATTAGGTAATTAACAGTCTTTAACACTTATATTCTAAACCTGTTGTGAGAATACAGTTCCATGGAGCTAATGGTGTAGTTAGCACAGGTGGTGATGGTCCCTTATTGAGATCTCTTCTTACTCTGGTCGTGGTGATCAGGCTTGAAAGCTCTCTTAGTCAAATCATGCCTGAACAATTTGGTGGTCTTCTATGATGGGGCTATGGAACTGATGGACAGCAGCAGAGCAGTTGACGCCATCTACCTGGACTTGTGCAAAGCGTTCGACACTCTCCTGCATGACATCCTTGTCTCTAAATTGGAGGGACATCAATTTGATAGATGACCACTCAGTGGATAAAGAACTGGCTGGATGGCTGCACGCAAAATGTTGCAGTAAATGGCTCAATGTCCAGTTGTAAAACAG